AACTACAAGTTTTGTGTGGCCGACTCCTGAATAGTTTTTTGTGCACGCGCAGGTATGCCGCAGCCGTATATAGCTGGCTTGCGCCTTGCAAGATGCACTGACTTCAATGCCTTCGATGCTGGAGCAGACAGCCACCATATACTAAATTCCACACCTTGTTACACCACATTTTTGCTATGCTTTTCCATGTGTAGCTTTTCTTCATTCGGTCTGCTATGCTTTGAAGGCTTGAAGACCTGGCCAAAATGCCAGGATTGTTATCGATCGTTATGCCTTACGGTGCTGCTTATGGTAGGCATGTTCATTCACTGCCTACCCTTTTGATGCTGTATCCCGACGGGCTGTCCTCAAAGAGGCTGGACAAAATCGAGGTTTTGTTCCAATCATGTTCTCCAAACGGTTCATTCAGCGCATCGCGCTCGTCATGTTCGTTGTGTCCCAGGCTTAGCTGTAGTTGGTTGCTGCAAGCCCGTGGATGCGCTCAGGCTCGGATCTTGCGGGTTCGATTGGCAGCTGCCAGATCTGGAGAATCATCGTTTGGAAAGGTGCGGGTCTCAGCAGCTTGAAGATCCGCAGCTACGCACCACTAGGCGCTTGGCTTGCCTGACTGCTTTTCGGGTATACAGAAAGAAGATCTAGAGATTGAACTCCATAGCTTCAAAAGTTGCGCTCAGCTTTGAGATGCAGGGTCAAGCTCAACATCATATGCTCGGGTTGATGCAGTCTGTGGACATCTTTCCCTTCCATTTCGAATGTTGAAGTTAAAGAAGTAGGCTTATCGGTTTCACGTATAGCCATAGAAGGATGCAGAAGCGCAACCTTCCACTGCAGGCCATGCGGAGCACAGTCAAAAGCCACGGTCGGCTTCTCAAGGTTGTGCTCCGTCCGAAGACTTTAGACAGGAGCGCCTGATCGCATTATAGCTGTGACAGCTAGGCGCTAGCCATGCCCAAGAGACAGCATAGAAACCTCGCATATCGTCGTATCACTCTGGCCTGACATGCCAGCAGAGGGGTAGCGAGTGACTGTGTGGCAAGTGAGTGTTTTTCTTGTTTGCTTGTGCCGGATGGAGGTGGCGCAAACCTAAGTTTTTTGGCTCAATATCTCACTGATCTGCCGACACCAAACTCTCCGTAGTGGCTTTGGTAGGAATGTCAGGCCCTTCCAGCAGTTCGCAGAGTGCAACTTCCTATTTGACGGTGCTGGAGAACGAGGTGACCAGTGGCACAGGTCTGAGCATGCGTATGCCTGAGAACGACAACCCTGATTACCAGACCTTTGCTGTAGATGAGAATTGTGGCTTTCATCTGGCCGCTGCGCCAGCATACGTGCTCTCCCGGAAAGGCTGGTTCCATGGTGCTGAAGGGTGCCAAGATGGCGATCCTGTGCATTTGTGGAAGGACATTCGTGGTGGCCCGAATGGTGGCAATCAGCGCTTCTTGGTGAAGAGAGGGCAATTGTTGTTGGAAGGCACCCAACTTGCAGTGAGCCGTGCCGGAGCTGGTGGTATATGTTTGCGGCAGTCGCCACATGATCGAGCGTTGACCGTCTGCTTGCGGGATTATGATGCATCCGTCCCTCGCGTAGCCCTGACCTGGACTGAGCAAGTGCCCCTGGAGATGCAAGCTGTCCAAAGCTCGCACAGTGCGAATGGACCTGCTGGAGAGGTGCAGGCAGAAT